TATTCAAATCATAAAATTCGGTCATAATTTAATTTACAGTTTATAAAAGTTTTACCTAGAATCTATTTTTAAATCACTGTGTTTTAACACGTTAAATTAATTATTTGAGCTTGAAACTGACTTTTTTTATACATTTATTCATTCAACAAATATGTAGTGTGTGGCTTGGCTATTATACATATAAGGCTCTTGGCTTATGTCAGTGAACCAAACAGGCAAAGATTTTTACTTTTGAGAAGCTCATATTTCTGCAGTGGGAGACAATAAATTTCAGTAAATAGTAGAGCAAGGTAAAGGGTGCATGGAAATATGTGGATGTGGTGAAGGGGAGCAGACTGTAGGAGTAAGTAGAATGATCAGGGTAGCAATCATCAAAAGCTCACATCTGAGCTAAGACTTGAAAAAGACAAGGAGTTTAGTCATACCAACATCAAGGAAGAGTATTCCAGACAGAAGGGAAGGTTGGTCTAAAGACCCCAAGGCAAGAAGGGGCTTGAGACAGTAAGTAGGGGATAAGCTCTAAGAGTCATGGAAGTCCAGATAATATCCTAAGGACTCTAGCATTTTATTCTGAGTAAAGTGCAGAAACATTGCACGATCTTGTGCAGAGGTGACAAGATCTCATTTGTCTTTCAAAAGAGTCACTCTGGCTGTTGTGTTCAGAATAGACCCCAGGAGGAGGGCAAAGATAAATGCTGGACAACCAGTTAAAAGTCTATGGTGAAAATTCAAGTAAAAGCCAATATTGGCTCAGAACAGGGTGGCAATAGTGGAGGCGTTGAGAAACGGTCCAATTCTGCACATATTTAGAAAATACAGCAAATCTGGAAGTTGGACTCAGGGTGTAAGAGAAAAAGAGGAATCAATTCTCAAATTCTCCAGGTTTTGGCCTGAACAGCTGGAGAAACATATTTACAATCAACCAAGATGGAGATGGCTACTGAAGGATAAGGTTTTGAGGGAAAACCACAAAGAGTTCTATTTTGGAAATGTTGATTTTGAGAGGTTTATTACCTATTCAAGTGAAAATATTGTGGAGTCAGTTAGATGGCTAACTCTGGAGTTAAGAAGAAAGGATCTGACTGGAGATAGGAATTTTGCATATATTTTGGACACTTTGTGGCTAATGCATTGTTAAAGAATGACTTGAAGCACCGAATGGGGAGGGGGTTAGTAGGCAAGGTGGCCAGCTGTAGAGCCCCTGAAGTCTTTTCTTAATCCGTTTTTCCCTGTTTGTATGTACTTTTAATTGGTGATCAGCAAATCAGAAGATTGTATATTTGAAAAACGTTGTATATTTGAAAAACGTTTCTTTGCTCCAACTTATATTATTTTAACTGCCGCTAAGGTATTTTAGGACCAATGTGGGCTAGTGCAATAACACTTGGGAAACAGGCACAAAGACACTTATTTCCCCAGCACAGTTTGGATGCAATTGTCTCCATTGATGACAGGAAAATTCAAAACCCCTAAGATTGAGAACAGAATTGTAAACATGCCATAATCTACTACTTGGCAGCTCACTGCACAGTACCTAGTTTCCTGCATTAGTCATGAAAGATAAAACCATTTAAAACACAAATTCAGATACATTTTCATAAAATAGTGGTGTTTTTTTTGGGAGGGGGGATTGAGGGTAGTGATTGCAGGCGCCAAAATGGAAAGTCAAAATAGAGAAAGTAATTATGTAAATTGTGTTTCTTGAAGGCACTTAGAATTTTTAATTCACATACTCTAAGTATCTGAAAGCACATTTAGTTCCTGTTTTGAGAGATGAAAGCCTTGCCATAGCCTCATCTGCAGGCTTGTGGCAATGTGAGTTTCTCCCGTGTGTACGTGCACTGAAGAGTAGAAGTGGCTGAGTGGGCAGTTGGCAACCATTCATAGCATTGATTGCAGTCATTCATAAAACTCAGCAGTGCAGAGGGCGGAGTCAGGACAAGCATTCCCCTGAGGTGGTTGCAGAATGTCTTATTTGCATAAATCTTCCGTGATGCTTGAGTGAAGAGGGAATGTTCACATGCAGTTAGAAGACTGTAAGAGTCCGTGTCTGATAAGGCCCTGAGTAATGAAAGACATTGCAAAGAATAAGAGGTCAAACCCTTTGAACTCCTAGTTCCTCAATCTTCGTGATAATTCTGGGAAGTCAGCACTGTGACAGCTTTTGTGGTCTTCTTTTGTATGGCTGAAAGAATGAATCATATAGAGATAGACTCTTAAGAGCTGCAACATACTGAAATATGATTGTTGTTTTTCCTAAGGTATGAAGGGCTTATATTATCACAGTAAGTCTAATGCAGGGAAGATCATGGAAATTGCCTGAGTTAAACAATTTCTATACATTACAACTGTCAAAACTATTAAGGTTTTATCCCTCAAAACTGTGATGCAATTAAATTATAATTTTAAAGGAATGATAATCCACAAAGGCTAACAAAAATCCTGTGGGTGTATTATATTTTTAATGTATCTTATTCTGAGTGTAGGGTAATTTCTTCCTTTTCTTTCTTACATCTAGGGGAAATTTCAGCTAAAAAGTCAAATTAGAAATTGTAGGAATATATATTACTATGGCTTAAAGTTCTCCAAAATTAGTGGAATAATTAGCAATCTGAAACAAATATTAACAGTTTTTCCTTCTTAAAATGAAGATTTAAGAGCAAGCTATATCACTCTAGATCTGAATATTCATCCTGTGTCAGGATATAAGTTACTATGGAAAATGTGTTGTTTTCCTGTTTTGTTCACTACATTTAAATTAATTCTAAATATATTGTTTTTGAAGATTAATGTATTTATTCTCATTACTCAATAAAACTTTAAAGTTCAGATATTCAAATGAAGTTTTTAATCACAAAGCTTCTATAGCATGTGTAGATAGACCCAGTATACCAACTATTGCAATTTTAAACCAAAACTACTAGGTACTTGAGACTAAATAAGAGTTTTCTTACAAAGACATGGCCTCTTAATCAGAAAGAAAAAAGGTTTGCTTAGAAAGCCTACCCTTACTGTAGGCTTTTGTTAGAAAAATAGTTACTTCAATGTGTGTATATATATATATATATATATATATACTCTAAGTGGTAGTTTTTTTTATTTCAAAGTTTTGTATAAATACCTATAAGAGGGAAAAAGAGGAATCAAGATTTCTCATAGACACAATTCTTCAAAAATGTTTCCAAGTTGGTGATATTTCAGATATTGTCACAAACCAGTGCAAGTAGATTAAACATGCTGCATATGCTATTTTTAGTTGAGTGAGAATTGCTAAAGAGTTTCCAGTGCTGTGAAATTTAGCTTGCTGGACATCATACCTTGTGTAAGTTAGATTAAAATTTCAGAGCTCAGAAATTCTAGTATATTACTTCTTCCTAATGACTGCCTTCCAAAATGTTCTCATAATGCTGGTGCACAATCATGCTTCCCACAGGAAACTGGAGCAAGAACACAAGGCTTTGTGGTTCCTGTGAATGTTTTTGACCATGAATCTGTGGCCTCAAGGCCACATGTGGCCCTCCACATCCCCAGATGCAGCCCTTCAACCAAACCTAAACTACACAGAACAAATCCATTTACTAAAAGGATTTGTTCTGTGAAATTTGGATTCAGTCAAAAGGCTGCACTGAAGGATCCAGATGGCCACATGTGGTCCCAAGGCCACAGGATCCCCACCCTGGATACATTGAGAGTTTAGCATCAGCTCTTGACATACACCACTTTTTTTTTTTTTTACTTTATCCCAGGGTGAAGGTGTGTTGAGGCTTTGATATGGCACCATTTTCTTTTCTCGTCACGCTACATATTGAATTTGAAGTCTTACTTGACCGTGTTTGGAATGAGCAGTGTGTGTGTGTGTGTGTGTGTGTATGTGTGTGTGTGTGTACGTTTTTGTGCGTTGTGTCCACGTTTTCCTGTATCATTTCTTTCAGAAGTGGAGAATTTTGCCGTGCAGCTTTAAGCTCTGGGAAAACAGTTTATCTACCACTGCCTCACCAGTGATCCACTTCTGGAATAACATGAATGACCTTAAATTTAAGCAGTGTAGTTGAATCTCCATGAAACCTCTTAAGAACCAGATTCATATTTGAAGAGTTCTGAGTCCTCAGGGGCATTTCCACTGAGCAAAGTCTAAGATGTGGAGTCTCAGTTTTATAACCAATGCTTCCCCATTCAAAGCTGTGTTTGTTTTAAATCTTTTGAGGGGAAGGAATATCTGAGCCATCCAAGTACAGCTTTGGATGGAGGTGTTTTCTGATTTCTGCCAATGAATCTTTCCAATGCTCTGTAAGCCCTGTTTACATGAAAGCAAGAATATCTCTTCCTCCTGCCCTTTGGAGCTTTGTTATATTATGTACTCTCTGTATTTATTATGATGGAGGACTTAAGACACAAAGACATTTTACTGTTTTTTTCACATTTTGGAAGTGTCTTCTCATTTTACACACACGCACATTTTATACGTGAGCATTTCCTTCCATCTTATCCTCTTCTCTTAGTATGAAGGGAATTTTGAACAAGGGGGACGTCTCGAGGCGTCTCAGATCTTTTTGCATAAACAGAAAGACCTGTGTGGTGATTAATGGTGTAAAACAAAAGTCCATATCTTTTAGTTAAATACCCAGCGCCACAGAAAATCCTGCTCAATTTTTAACATATCAATGCAACAGCTGTTTCTATTTTTAATCTTTCAGATGTCTTCATATGGTGAGGCCAAAGCTTTCAGGAGCTTTTCTGCTATGAGAAAAGCTGCTGAGAATCATTTTATTGATGCTAAAAGAAAGGCTAGGACAGATTTGACGTGGGTATAACTGAGTTTTTGGAATCCTGAGTCAAAGATTTCCAACTCCAGGGGCTTTGCCAGGGCCCCCAGGTTAATACTGAAGGGGCTTGCAAAGACTTTCTTTTAGATTGTGATTTCAGTACCGTGTTTGATTTCCAGATGTGTTCTACCCTTTTTATAATTAATAGTGCATTGTACTGTCTATCATGCGCCCCAGGTGTGTTGTCAGGGACATGGCGAAGCCTGCCGTCTGCAAAACACCAAGAAATGCTGAAACCCAGCCCCACCAACCTTCACCGTGAGTATGGCATTGGTTTTATTGACTGGAAATGTCGTCTCTTAACAGAGATCGCTGGTTACAGATTTATTAATTCACAATGCATGTGGGAGTAAATACTCTGGCTACTCTTGTGTATGTATAATAAAAAGGCTACAAATGAATTAGATAAAATTGTGTGGAAACATCATCTCTGGCTTAGAATTTTTGTTAAGTGATGTTTCTAATATCATATTGAAAGGATTAAACTAATTAGAGGAAAGGGCCACATTTTTAGGACTCAGGTGACAGCAATTCTGGTTTTCATTTTGTTTTTGGATTTGGAATGTATATGGGCTGGAACATAAGACTATGGGGAAGTAGGAAGGCAAGGTACACTTGGGGTGCTGGAGTGTGTACATAGGGAAATGCGTAGGTAGTCCATCGCTGAGCCTCACTCTATATTATTTAAAGGTAGTGAACAATTTTAAGAACTGGATTGTCCATCTAGTTTTTTGTTTGTTTGTTTTTGTTGTTGTTTTGTTTTCTTTTATTTTACTATTATATTCTTAAGTGTAGATACGAGTGATTAAACAACCAGCTGAAGGGGTCTCATCCACATTTGAAACTCAGAGTTTACTTATTTGACTGATTTTTTTTCTCTCTTCTTGCTTTCCCCTTCAATTGGTCACTTAAATGCTTATATTTTGTATACTAAATGTATACTACATACAGTAATGTATAATTTAGAATTATTTATGTTTTAGGATATATAATTTTGATAAATAAGTTTCAGGAGTCTCAATAGGTGTTATAGATTTTATTTCAATGAGTATACTGGAATGTCATTTCCTACTTTAAATCAGTGTTTTCCAAGGAATAAAAATAGTTTTGATTGAAACATAGTAAACATGATTTATAATTACATTGAAAAAAGTAAAAACTTGAAAGAAAGTATACTTAATGATGTTGTCATATTTTTTCTATAAATGTTTTCACTATAAAGCATTTTCCTATGATGGAACTTCTCTTGATAATTCATAGAAAACTTATGGTCCCCACTTTCTATCTTATGTTCTAGGACCTCCAAAACAGTTTACTTATATTAGGATTCAAGTAATTTCTGGGAAAATTCTTTGAGGAATTAACACTGATTTTAAAGTCTGTTTTATTTCATGTATTCAGGTTTCATGTTAATTGGTCCCACCTATTCCAAAGTTCACTTTAAATTGGATACGAAGTGCCAATTGTTATCCTCCTCTCCAAACAGACTTTAGATAATTTTTTTTCCTTATTTTGTTTTTACTTTCCACAAACTTAAAGTTGTGGAACTGTGTTTACATTGTACCTAGTGGAACTTTCCTAGTGGAACCTTCTGAGTATAGTGGCAAAGAAGCAACTGTTGTTTCTCTAGATCTTCCTTTCTAACAGCCTCTTTGCTCTGTATTTTTCTGATTAAAATACTTAACTTCTCTGTAGGGGACTTGAAGAATTTAAAGTCTCCATGTATTTCTTATTTTATAGAAAGTGGTGTTTGTGAATGTAGCTGTCCATATCCACATAAATACCTTTCTAGATCAATATGAAAGGGCAAAAATAAATTTCTAGGGAGTGATTGAGGATGGGCTTGAGCCCACTGGTCTGTGTTTTTAAATCATGGCCTATTAATGGGTCTAAAACTCAGACAGGCTAGTGACTGGACCTTTTTTTTTTTTTAATTTTGAATGGAATAGAAGAGAATAGAATATGTAAGTGTGTATCCCAGGTTGGTATTTTAGGACAGAACTTAGATTTCCATATATAATAACTGAACTGCATCAAAATATAAAATATAAATATTACATTTAGTTATGAGGATTGCACTAATAGATTTTAATTAGGAAAATGATATGATCAGATTTGTAATATATATGTGTGTGTATGTATGAAATATATATTTCTTGCTTTGGCAGAAGTGGAGAAAATGGAGTATGAATGTGATGTGGGCAGAAATGGAGACAAGTAAATCAAAGAATGGATTGTTGCAATAGTTCAGGGAGACATAATAAGATCTTGAGTTAGAAGAAGGAGTAATAAAGGGTATGAGAAGGAGACATTTCAATAGCTGAGTAAGAAGTAAAATGGGCAGTGCTTGATTATCAACTGAATATGATTTGTCAGGAAAGAGCTTAGGGGGACCGCCTTATTAATGGCTTGGGCGATTAAGGGCCACTAACCAAGAAGTTGAATTAAAGATGTGAACCAGATCTAGGGGTTGGTGGACAGTGGTAATTTCATATTTTGATATAGTGATTTTGTATTACCTATAAGTTATCCAAGGGTGTAGATCCAGCAAACAGTTGGGTCTGTGAACCTGAAGCGTAGAAAAAATTAACAGAAAGAGCTCTAACTAAAACCAGTACTTAACCAATACTTTAGCTCTAACTAAAACCAATACTTGGGTGAAGGAAGAGGATTCCCGAATGCAGCTAAGAAACAATGGTTAAAGAATCAGAAGAACCAGAAACCAAGGTAGTAGAGGAGTTAAAGGGGAATGCCCATCAGTGTCAAATTCAGCAGAAAATCAAGAAATAACTTAAGGGAAGTGTGCTTTTGTTTTGGTCATATAGAGGTCATTGGTGCCTCAGCACTTTCAACATCTAAGTGAGTGGAAAGGCTGTATTTCTCTAGGCTTGAAGAGGAAATCAGAAGTCAAGAAAAGAAGATGGAGAATGTATTACTTTTTCAGTAAGCTTAACTGAGTAGGGAAAGAGAGAGAGAGAGTGACTGGTGGATAGACAGGAAGCAGGGTGACTATACTTATGTTACTTAGTACATTCTATTATAAAAGTCTAGAGCAATGGATACACATGTCAATATAGTTTATATTTTTGATAACTATGTTTACAAACCATCCAAATATTCCCTTTAAATTATTATTTAAAAATGTCAGTCATATTTCAAGCATGCTGCATCATGAGTTGTCATGACTTAATCAAAGTAGTAAATATGTCAAAAAATTAGTGCGTCTTAGGCCTGCTATTTCTTAGGTATAAGATAAACAAATGAAATAGATTTTTGTCTTAAGGGTTTCCTCTCAAGTTGGGGAAGGGGAGGACAGTTATATAATCAAATAATTGTAATACTGCATGATAATGAAACACTTGAAGTGTGGATTTATTCTATTTGGATTGGTGTGGTCAGGGAAGGATTTACAGAGCCTGCAGTAGCTAGCATGGATTTTGAAAGATGAATAGTTCAGTAGGTGGGCATGTTTGGGGTACAGTTCTCCTGAGAACAGTTACTGCAAGCCCCCATCGTCAGGTTGTGCTGAAGCAACTTAAAGCATGTACTCACTGCGGAGCCTCTGAGTTATGTGTTGCATTTTTCTCTAATTTGGTCTTGAGGTCTCTCTGGAGAGTGGCTATAAACTCTAGATCTGCACTGATGGGGCTCCAGGGAAGTTGGTCAGGGATGTTTACAATGCGCCTTTCATGAGATACTTCTTTATCCTGGCGTACAACCTAATGCCTACGTGTCCCACTAGCAGGAAACTTGCTTATGTTGGCAGACACCCCAGTGGCTCTCCTCCGACTGGTATCCAGTTTATTCCTACCAAGATAGCCACTCACTAGGGTAGTCCTGACCAGGAGGAGAGTTAGATTAGGGTGAGTCAGTCAGGAGAGACACAGAGGAGGCAACACAACAAAACACATTAAATAACAGAAGCAGAGTATTACTTGACAGATCCCAGAGAGAAGAGGGGAGTACAGGTAATACACCTCACAGGGCCAACAGCAAGTGGGGAACTGTCTGGGAAATGTATGCTCGTTCAACCAGCAGGTGGGGAGCAAGACAGAGAGAGTGAGGGACCCACAGGCCAGATCCTTTACTGGAGTCGGGAGTGTTACTCAAGCAGGTTTCCCTTGAGGAGTTCTTATTGGGTTTAGAGTAAGAGAGCACTAGCCCCATGGAGGCATGCCATACTGAGAGGAGGTCATTGCGGCTTATCTGGGCAGTCCATGCAGGGCATAGAGGTCAGTGGGGTGAGTCAAGTAGGTTGTATGTAGCTGTCCCATAGCGGGGTGGTCATCAGGAGGCAGTTTTATAAGGTGTATATCTGGATTGACCACCTTAAGGAACTGGGAGGAGGTAGGGGACTGGAAACTGTCAAGGGTGACTAAGCCTTGCTTCTAATATGAGAAAGTTAAATTTATATTCACAGTGATGCCAAGGCCACTTGAGATCATAGGGAATTCACTGCAGTATGTGACTTTGTAGTTGTGTGTGTGAAGTCAAGGGTGGGTGGGAATTCACGTGTGTGTGGGTGAGTATGGGTGTATGTGTTTGAAATAGAGAAAGAAGGCAGGAAGTGCTGCATCAGAATCTCTGAAGAATAGGACAGTTACTTAATTTGGAGAAAAAAGGAACTCGTGTCTTGTCTTTGGTTTTACTCTTAATACTGTATTTTATTTTTAAATTTGACATAACATGTTGGGTTTTTTGTGTTTTTCAAAGTTATCATGGATTTAAAAAGTCTGAGAAACACTTGGCTACTCTTTGCTCTAAGTCATGCATGTTAGTGAGAACAGGTAGGAGAGGTAGAGAAGATTTGTGAAAAATTTCACATGTGGTATAATTAGAGGATAGTGATTCATTAGATGTGATAATAAAGGAAAGGAGATAAGATAACTCATTTTAGCTCAAGGGATTAAATGGATATGATAAAATCAAGAAGACAGTTAATTTAGACACTAAGGCAGATTTAGATTCACCATTAGACTTGAGTATCAGTAGCCAAAGAGATCTCTAATTGGAACATACAGAAGACAGTTGACTGTTCTATCTCAAACTTAGGAGAGACTTAGAAAAGATATACTTATTTGTAAGCAATTACTTTAAAATAAAAAAAAAATAAGGCAAATGAAATAGAGTAAGGAAAAAGTGGAGAGTTAGAAGGAAAGAATATAAAACAGCAGTATGGAGAACTTAAGTAAATCATGCAAGTAAATCATGCAAGGTCATGCAAAAATAAACTTGCCTGGTTCTGGGACTTTCCCTGT